GGACATAACATAAAAGGTGTAGGGAGTGCGTCCAGTCAGACATTGGCTTATGAGACACTCTATACAATATAAACAAAATATATACATAATATACATGATGTGAGTGATGGGAAATTTAGCTACGAAATCAGAAGACTCACAAGAAACAAAAACAAACTCCTCGATTCAACAACGAAAGACAATGAAAGGACAGGTAGAGAGAGGTGTAATTTAATAATCATGGCGACGACTGTCGTCTCTTAAACATTTTAAAAAGCGTTGCGGCAAGCAATTTTTCTAAAACCTTTGAATTCATTAAGTTGGTTGGTTGGTTGGTTGTTTAACGCCGCACTCAACAATATTCCAGCTATATGACGGCGGTCTGAAATAATCGAGTCTGGACCAGACAATCCAGTGATTGATATCATGAGCATCGATCCACGCAATTGGGATCGATGACATGTATCAACCAAGTCAGCGAGCCTGACCACCCGATCCCGTTAGTCGCCTTTTACGACAAGCATTGTCGCCTTTTACGGCAAGCATGGGTTGCTGAAGACCTATTCTACCCCGGAATCTTCACGGGTCCAAATTCATTAAGTAAATAAATTTCTCTTCTTCGCATATCACATTAAAATTTCGGTTGTTAAAATTAATAAGAGAGAGTTTTGTGTGGGACTCTAACGTTTATCACTAATTCTAAGAGGATATTGGAAATGAATATGAACAGCCATGTTGTCTCACTGTTCATAGATTTTGAGATCTTCACAAACACCGGGTGTGACCATGTAGACAGAATCTCGTTATGGTTAACTTTGTGATGTTTACAATGACCATAGTGAGTATTGCTGGGGATACCAAAGGTAAGACTTTATTATTATGTAGTTATGTTCTATGTAAATGAGATTGTCTCTCTGTCTGTCTGTCTGTCTGTCTGTCTGTGCTCGTCTGCATTTCCAGTGTATGTGGGCGGCCTGTCCTCATCTTGCCTACACCTCATATCGCCTACACTACTGAATAAGGTGTATACAATATCAGGTGTAGGCCAGATGAGGTCCAGTGTATGTGGGCAGCCTGTCCTCGTCTTGCCTACACCTCATATCGCCTTCACTACTGTATAAGGTGTATACAATATCAGGTGTAGGCCAGATGAGGTCCAGTGTATGTGGGCAGCCTGTCCTCGTCTTGCCTACACCTCATATCGCCTTCACTACTGAATAAGGTGTATACAATATCAGGTGTAGGCCAGATGAGGTCCAGTGTATGTGGGCAGCCTGTCCTCGTCTGGCCTACACCTCATATCGCCTTCACTACTGTATAAGGTGTATACAATATCAGGTGTAGGCCAGATGAGGTCCAGTGTATGTGGGCGGCCTGTCCTCATCTTGCCTACACCTCATATCGTCTACACTACTGTATAAGGTGTATACAATATCAGGTGTAGGCCAGGTGAGGTCCAGTGTATGTGGGCAGCCTGTCCTCGTCTTGCCTACACCTCATATCGCCTTCACTACTGTATAAGGTGTATACTATATAAGGTGTAGGCCAGATGAGGTCCAGTGTATGTGGGCGGCCTGTCCTCATCTTGCCTACACCTCATATCGTCTACACTACTGTATAAGGCCAGATGAGGACAAGCCATATAGGCACCTCGTACTTGTTTCACTCGGTATTTAGAACCTTGATATACAAGGCTACGGCCACGACGCCATTCAAAGGTGCATTTGTCTATTAATAATGAAGTTGTTTGGCGTTGACAGTATTTATATACTATCTCACTGACTACTTTTTAGCTGGTTACTGCAAGTGCCTTAATTATCTACATTTCGGTGAACCGACTTTATTCACATGTTTTCATAGGTTGTGATGGATATTTGTAAAATAGTCAGTTGAGTTCACTCACTAACTACTGTGGGCGTTTTTAACAAGACATTTGTGCATATGACGTAGCCATATTGGAGACGTTTTGCCTTGTGTGGGCGTGGTCCCGTTTGCTACGTCACAATGACCAAGATAGTGGGGGAATTACCTTGGTAGAGCTGATTACTCGGCTATCACCTTAAAACAGAGAGAAGGCTGCTGACTTCCTTCAAGTCTTTAATCGTGGCAGAGTCACATTTCATATACAGAGAGATATTCAAACAATATTACATTACAGAGGCAGGGGAATTCAATGTATATTGTGTAGTGCGGTGGAATTCAGTGTGTATTGTGTAGTGCAGAGGAATTCAATATGTGTTGTGCAGTACAGTGGAATTCACTGTGTACTTTGTAGTACTGTGGAATTCAGTGTGTATTGTGTAGTGCAGGGGAGTTCAATATGTGTTGTGTAATACAGTGGAGTTCAATGTGTACTTTGTAGTACTGTGGAATTCAATGTGTATTAATATTGTGTAGTGCAGGCGAATTCAACTATGGCATATAGTTGAGGTTTAACGTGGTACAAGATAGTAACGTTTCTTACCTGAGTGAATAAACAATTAGTTTACTAGACAGCCACAGAATGACTTGTGCCCGCATTAATACCTAATCTAGCAATCACATTTCATTTACTGATTAAACTGACGATTAAGTTATTTTGTGATTTTTTGTGGCGCTATCTACAGAGAATTGTGTGATTTAGTTTGAGCGAGGCATTGATGATAAAATTGTTTATGAGTGAAGTTTATTAAGAGTAATAGCTTAGAAAATGCTAGAATGCAACGAATGTATACGTGGTACGTGTGATTTGATAAGGGTGGATGATAAACAACTGTAGGTACAGATAAATGTTTGAACGCATTATATTAATTGCCTAACTATATGGCATGTAACATGATAAAATATGTGTAAAACTTTGTTTATTTTCGCCATGTTGATAATAGTATCTTTGGTACGATCAATGAGGTCTGGCTCTAGAATTCCTGATTAGTCATTTCTTGACTGATTCCACTGAACACGGTATGTGTGGTGGAAGTATATGCACATGGGCGGTGAGGTAGCCCAGTCTCATTCAAGCCCTGGGGCGATCGGGTAGCCTGGCGGTTAAAGCGTTAGCTCGTCACGCCAAAGATCCGGGTTCGATTCCCGACATGGGTACAATGTGTGCAGCCCATTTCTAGTGTCCCCCGCCGTGATATTGCTGGAATATTGCTAAGAGCGGCGTAAAACCATACTCACTCATTCACTCATTCAAGCCCTGACACGTCACGCCGAAAGCCCCGATCTGGATTCCCTACATCGGTCGGGCCATGCTGGCTGTTCTCCGTCTCCATGATATAGCTGTACTATTGCTTTAAGCCTTGGAAATTGAAAATAGTGGGTACATAACAGCAAACAAACTTATCTGGTAACAGTCTGATTGACTCATATAGTATAGCCGATGTTTAAAAACAGTATCAATTAGGAAGAGAAATGGAACACAAAATGATACTTACAAATATACATTGTCTTGGAGACTAACGACATTCTGCCACCTACCTGCTCTTTTTAATGCATGCCACCAGTGTCTTAATGTCTGTACATTTTAGGAGTGAGGTGAGGTAAAATGGGGTTTAACGTCGGATCCATTATTATTGCATTTATATAAAAACTTGCGTGTGCGTGTGCGTGTGCGTTGCTGCTTGTATTAGTCCGGACTGATGCTGATTATAGTACGAAGCCACTGAGATTCCCCCACTCAGACACAGTATACCGACCCCAAGCCGACCAGTCCTTGATTTAGCCCCTTAATGCCGAGCGCCAGACAGGGTAACAACAAGTACCACCTTTTGACGTCTTTTGGTATGACGCGACCTGGGATCGAACCCGGACCTTCCGCTCCGGATGGACGCTCTGCCACTAGACCACGGAGGCGGTCTTAACATTTTGGGAATCCATGCATAGGACACTAAACTGTGACAGATAGAGATGCTTATGGAGGGCTGTCACGTGAAGCATGCTCCTCTAGCTGATGGAGCTGATGTACCAAATTGTGCACAACATCAATGTTTTCTCCTGTGGTGCCCGTGGCGGGTCCACGGCTGCATGGTCCAACCTCCATCACCCATCGTGTACATTCATCCTATGATAGGGAGCGTACCCTTAAACAGCATGCAGCTGTTCATCAGTATTCGTTGCTAATTGAGTGAGTGAATGAGGTTTTACGCCGCTTTTAGCAATATTCCAGCAATATCAGGGCGGGGGACACCAGAAACCCCACCCCACCCCCTTTTATTTCGAAAAAAATCTTTATTTCAGTACAAATTACCACCGAAGACAATAAATAGATCTTAATTGTGGACAACCCCCCCTTTTTCAGAAATGCTGTATTATCCCGTGTAATGAAATAGAAACGCATCAGAGACTACAAATAAAACATAGAAATATGAGCTAAATAAAAAAAAAACTTAATTGAAATTATCGGCAAACACAGGACAATAATGCAGGAGGTAGTCTCTTAAATAAGTCATTCCTGTTTAGAGAAGATTTGAAAAGCGTTTGAATTTATTTATAAAAAACTCTCACAGTGAAGATTTTCATGAGCTTACTCCTCTAACGGTATGGTTTACTTCCGACACAAAATATATGAATGGACTGGTTGTTATATACTAAAAAATAAAAAATAAAAAAAGTAAAGGAGTAATGTAGACTAACATCTGATATCTGAAATGAACATATCGTACAGAAAAAAACAGTGGTTCAGTTATCTTAATAAAAATATGATAAAAGGACCCCAGTGACTCTCTTCATTTTCAGATACTGCAGTAATCTAGACTTGCCAAACATAGACTTGCATGGGCTGTATTTTATATATATTTGTACAGGGTCTGTAAGACAGAGTGGGAGTAATGGTAAGATCAAAAGCGTTTTCCATCTTTAAGGAAGAACCTGTGTAAGTCTAGGCGGTTCTAGATAAAGGACAGTCTCGCTACAACACAGCTGATGCTGAAATAGAATGTAAACAAACACACAGCGATGTAGGTCAGCTACGCTTTTTTAGCCTTCACTATGAGACGTGAGCCTTTCAGTAACGCTTTTATATTTAACACGAAAACAGGCGTCGGTGGAGCGTCTGTTGCAAACTAGGTCACCAGTGTAACTGTGTCTGTAGGTGCAACGCCTCCCAACAACGGGACTCGCTGAAGGCAGATTAACTCGTTGTGTTGTCATAATGTGCATGGCAGTGATTCTGTATGTGTGCATGACTAATACACCGTACATTGATCGGACTTTGGCGTGTCGGGACACGTGATCGGTCAGATTGTGTTCCACTTCGTGTACAGATATGTCTCTCGGCCGTGACGGCGATCATGAGGAACCGGTGTCGATTAATTAAAATCCAACTCCACCGCGCCATGGAAATACTGTATGTGGGTCGCAAGTCTTTCGGCTTGAGCTGTCCCATTGTGCAACGTGACCGACTATTGTGAAAGGCGTTAATCGTGTGATATGTCTGATAACAGTGAATCTTGGGTGAAATTGTAGGTCGGGAGTTGTTGGCAACGACCTTTAATAAGATGCTGCAGCTTCAGCTTCAGCTTCATCACATGTGAGTTTCAAAACAGGAAACACGATACAACTACGTGACAGAGTGAAGCGAGCGTGACAGGTGTCTGCACCACATACGCCACTAGCTCCCGTCCAGCGTTCATAGCATAAGCGTACCAAATGGCCTTCAAATATCGACCTGATCAAATCGACTGCGGTTGGGCGTGGGTAATTGTGGCGGCTTCTTTTTTTGCCCACTTCATCTGCTTTGGCATTTCATGGACTACGGGGATATATCACGTGATCTTCTTGGAGGAGTTCAAGGCGTCCCAAGCCGTCACAGCCTGGGCATGTTCGCTCATGCCTGCTTCCATGTTTGCGGCAGGTGGGTAAAGCGAGGCCAGAGGTAGTGCCGTATTATTTAAGTTCATGATATTTAATTATTGCTGATATTATTAATACCATCAAATATGAACTTGTCATCACCATCGTCAGAAATATAATAGAAGGGTCGCATATCGTGTTCAGAGATAACACCACTGGCTGTGTGCTGTTTAGTCGAGGGTTGTTTATTTTCAATCGAATGTTTGTTATGGTTTTACACCGGTCCAGCAACATCCACACAATATCCCTTAGTATACTCGGATTCAGAAGGAAGGGGTGGGGTGAGGTCGACGTGACACCCGCACCCATTCGATATCTCGCGTCATACCAGAGATATATATTTGTGCTTACTCCGCCTGCCGCTCGGCATTAGTGGATAAAAAAATATCTGGTCTGCTCGTCAGCATACTGTGCATATCCATTTTATAACTCTGGAAGCATCGCTGTGGACTGGCACTATGATATAAGCAGGAATTAGTTCAAACATTAGCACAAGCGTCGTTGAAACCCATTTCACCCTACCCCACTCACCTCATCTCACCTCACCTCACCTCACCTCACCTCGCCTCGCCTCACCTCATCTCACCTTACCACATCTCACCTCACCACATCTCATCTCATCTCACCTTACCACATTTCACCTCACCACATCTCACCTCACCACATCTCACCTCATGTCACCTCACAACATCTATTCTCACCTCACCTCACCTCATCTCACCTTACCACATCTAACCTCACCACATCTCATCTCATCTCACCTCACCTTACCACATCTCACCTCACCACATCTCTTCTCACCTCACCTCACCTCACCTCACATCACATCACATCACATCACATCACATCACATCACATCACACACATCACATCACATCACATCTCGTCACGTCACATCACCTCACCTCACCTCACCTCACCTCACCTCACCTCACCTCACCTCACCTCACCTCGTTTCACCTAAGCTCATCTCACCCTCGGGGGCACGGGTTGCCCAGTCATCTAAGGCGCCGCGATTCGCAGTGCAAAGCCGCGTCCCTTGGGCACGCCAGAAACCTATGATTGTGGGTTCGAATCCCGGTTCGCCCCAATTATGTTTCTAGGTTTGTCAGCAACATACCCGTGCTCGTGGGTTTCACCGAAGTGGTAAACGTCTGAGATCTGCATCACTTCGGGCTTTCCTCCCACATTAAGCTGACACGCCGTGATGTGACTGGAATAGTGTTAAAAGCGGTGTTAAACCAAACTCACTCACTCACTCATCTCACCCTCAATCGTTTATAATTCAGCGTCACTAACGTTTGCCTCTCACGCTCAGCTGCCACGCATACAGCTGGCATGCGGTTCAAACAACTTCGATTAGTTCGTGTGCAGCTGGCTCCCTGTCGACGCAGGCCACGTCAGCTTGTAGATATAATCTCTGTAAACTGAGCTGCACATGCACCTCCTGAACATAGATATCGCCATTCATGTGTATTGTAATTAAACACGCCAACCACAACCATTAAAAAAGATGCTTTCCGCACGAGCGCAGTTGTTAATAATATACTCGACTACTTAAACAAGCTGAACACAGGGCGACTTAACCCGGGCAAACCTGTCTCGCATAAAATAGCACGATGACATCTATTTCTGTTGATGTATGAAAAACGTTGGAATAGAAATGTAGGTTTAATTACCTGTACTCAACTGACGAATGCTATTCAGTCCATAGCTAGTGTCCCGGCACTGCAGCTCACCTTGTTCATTTTATGGAGCATTCATGCCGGCACGGATTACTGACAACATTTCGCACCTCTATCACTTTGGGCATTCCAGGTCTAGGCGATATTAAACTCCCTAAACTTACTCATTCCTTAGTAGCGGTCGGGTAGCCTAGTCCTTAAAGCGTTCGCTCGTCACGCTGAAGACCCGGTTCTATTCCCGACATGGGTCCAATGTGTGAAGCCCATTACTGGTGTCCCCCGCCGTGATATTGCTGGAATATTGCTAAAAGCTGCGTAAAACGATATTCATTCGCTCGGTTACTATAAATGTGTGAATAACACATGCTATATTTCACACATGTCGATGTGATAAAAGTACTACATATGTCATTGCAATGCAATATAATGCACTGCAACGCAACGCAACGCAACTCAACGCAACGCAACGCAGCGCAGCGCAGTCCAACGCAATGCGGGGACATGTCAGTATGAGCATGTACAAGCAATTATATATCAACAGTTTACATAATACAGTGTCTTGAAAAACATATCTCTCTCACATGAATTAATATGGCATAAATAATATGTTGAAAATATAACACCACCATCAGGACAGATATTTTCCTTTATGAAATCATTATATCTGCATGTATTATCAAGGCTAAGTCTGTCAAATTTAGGTCGACCTATCTGAGTCGTGCACTTTACTGCGCATTTGTGGCCGGCATTGTTAAACTGGAAAGTGATATTATTTCACTTGACCATTGAGATATGATTCTGGGTCCTGGTGTGCCTTGTGTCATAAATATAGAATACTAAACGAGCTCCCGTGTAATACCAATTTTATGAAACGAGTGAATAGTTGTGGTATCTGACGAGCGAAAGCGAGTCAGATACCACAACTATTCACGAGTTTCATAAAATTGGTTTTACACGGGAGCGAGTTTAGTATTTTATTTATTACTTGCCATTTATAACGTTTTTTGAATTATACTGTTGAGTACGAACAGGCTGACACCTACACGATCCACGGCATATTCCAATTGAGTTAAACAGAATAATACTTCAAACACGTCAAAAGTTGAAACGTATGAATTTAATACCATACAACGGTCCACCTTTAGAATTCACAAAATTATCGTAGGGCTAAGACTATCGCAACTCACATACTTTAACTAAGACTAACGACTGTCGTTGCGCTACAATACGATCGCCTTGTGGAACGGGCCTTGTACCTCAAAGTTTACAATAACGTCACAATACCCGATGACGTAATTTGTGGAATTTTGTTGCAAGATCCATCGGCATCGAAACAATGCCATGTGACGTCGTATTCGGCCATTGCCGTGGGAGAGGTGAAAACGAGACTCGTCGTTGAACAGAACCTCTCTCATGATCAACTGAATTGCCGTCCAATGCACTCGCTATCGACACATCTGCAGATGCAATCGGCGGTTACTGTTGGTCAGAATTGGGCGTCTGGCTGATCTTCTCGCTGCATTAGACAGCGACGTACAGTCTGCGTCGATATTCGACAAAGGCCAGGGACGTAAAAGTACAATGCAAATAGTTTCATATATATTCCAAATCAAATAGTATCACATATACTCCAACTGCTGTGCTGTTACAATAACAGCGACAAATCGTTTCCATAATGTATAATACGAAATATTAGCTGAAAGCAGAGACCGCAGTACGAGTCGGAAAATATCATGAGCGTGTGTTTATGAATCCCTATCAAATAGTGATGGCACCAGATGTTCGAGACGGTGTATGCCTTCTCTAGGAATTATTGTCTAAGCACTAATGTCCTATTAGTGACACCTCCAGCTCAAGTTCACAAAGTCCTTACGAACCCCTGTCCGCGACCAACAGCGACGCCTTTGTGTAGTGTAGTTATGTATACCATCCAGATAAATTATTTATTATTGCACATGGAGGCACGGTTTGCCCAGTCGTCGAAGGCGGCGCAATGATCTATGCTGAGTTGCGTCCCTTGGTGACGCCAGAAACCTATGATCGTGGGTTCGAATCCCGATTCGTCCCGATGATGTTTCTAGGTTTGTCAGAGCCATACCGTGTTCGTGGGTTTCACATGGTAAAAGTCTGAGACCTGCATCACTTCGGGATTTCCTCCACATGAAGCTGATACGCATATATATAATTGGGATTCTGTTCAAATCGGCGTTAAACCCAAATCACTCACTCACTAATACGGCATATAATATCGGGAAAAGAGGACATGATATGGCTGCAAGTGCTACTCCTATTTCTTGAGTCATAGTACCATGGTAAACTACACTGATTGCGCCCTTTTGAAGCAAAAACGATTTAGTAAAACTATGTATTTGTCATATACGGCGGCGGAGCAAGAACAAAAACACACAGGGTAACAATCGATATACAGACGACAAAATAAAGTCATACAATAACAAAAACATTCGGAAATGAAGCTGTCGTAGGATCGTATGAAAAGAACTAGATTCGCACGTCGACATCAAGCTATCAACGCACCTGTGTGGCGCAGTAGCTGAGGCTGTTCGTTCGTCAAGTGGTTTGATTCCTGACATGGAACACTGTGTGACGCCCATTGTTAGTATACCCAACAAGCTGGGATTTGGGGGAAAACGGCGTAAAACTCATTCATTTTATAAAGGTTTTCATTATCAAATAAAGGTGAGCTTCAGTGCTTTTGGCATTGTTGGGGGCGGTCGGGTAGCCTAGTGGTTAAAGCGTTCGCTCGTCACGCCGAAGACCCAGGTTCGGTGTGAAGCCCATTTCTGGTGTCCCCCGCCGTGATATTGCTGGAATATAGCTAAAAGCGGCGTAAAACCATACTCACTAACTCACTCACTTTGGCATTGTTGTGTTTAACTTACTTGGGGGTATAATGCAAATGAATGCCTTAGAGTCATAATAGAAATTTTGTTGAAGAAATGTGAAGACATGAGCCTTAAAAATATTATACCCGTGTTCAGAAATAGTACGGTCAAATCCGTATTTCTGATGGCTTTCAGTCCGCCATCTTTGTTTCATCTTTGTTAACATACTTTGACTTTTAACTGTTGTTTTCAGGTCCTGTTGCCAGTTTACTCCTTAACAAACTAGGATGTCGTGTTACCATGGTTATAGGAGGTCTGACGTCATCAAGCGGACTCATACTGAGTTACTTTGCCCCAAACATCATTGTCCTGTATGTAACGTTCGGAGTCATTGCTGGTACGTATGCTTGCAGGAACACTTTCATCGCACCCCAAAATATTATTCCACGTCGCCAGTGACCATAGGTTGCGATACAATATTTTGACTCCTGGAAACTTTTAATGTTAAAGTTTCAGAAATGACTATTTTTTAATGAACATTATCAGTCTTAATCTAGCCTCTTGTTCACACCACTCCATCGCTGGTCGAGGAGACCCAATTGGATCGAGATATCCGGCTCGGTGACCAACACCTGCGTGTGTGGCGGTGTACCCCGACGGCATGGGGCGTTGCTCCTTAAATGTGTTAAGGTTTTTTTTCTACAAGTGCTTCATCACGGAACCTTCCTCAAGCGAAACACTTTGCCCAAAAAACTCACGTGTTTGGTAGAAATACCTCTCCGACATCATGTAATGTCCATAACATAAGATTCCTTCTATGTGAGGTATAGAAATTATCAGTCCACCCTCGTAACACCATCTGCATGGTTTCCTCCACAGGCCCCGTGATACAGCTGGGATATTGCCCACTGTAGCGTTACACAACATTCGTTTTATGGGGGAAGGGATGGGGGGATTTTTAAAACAAATAATATGTACCAAAAGTACTGAGAAACATATATTTTGCAGCAGGTTGATGGATGTCCTGAAATATGTGTTATGAAAACGACAGTTACTTGGTTTCTCCTATGAGAGAAAAAACATGTACGCTTAAAACAGTGGCCGATAATATATTCTAGACACAAATAAAAAGTCAGACAAAATGACGAAACATACTTATCTTACAATCACATTCAATCATATTACATATTTCAAACAATGACAGATAATAACACCACAAAGTGTGACATCACACACACACACACACACACACACACACACACACACACACACACACACACACACACACACACACACACACACACACAATCACACACACACACAATCCCACACAATCCCACACAATCCCACACAATCCCACACAATCCCACACACACAATCACACACACAATCACACACACACACACACACAATCACACACACACAATCACACACAGAGACACATACACACACAGAGACACAAACACGCACAGAAACAGAGATACAAACACAGACACAAATACGCAGGGACACAGAGACACAAACACACACACAAACACACACACAATTACACACACAAGCATAAACACAAACACACTGCCACTCTCATTACATATGGAGACAGCGGACACAGAGACAAACGCAGACACAGACACAGACACACACACACACACACACACACACACACACACACACACACACACACACACACACACACACACACACACACACACACACACACACACACACACACACACACACACACACACTCACACACATACACACACACACAGAGAGAGACACACAGACAAACACACACGTACACATACGTACACACACACTGGCACTCTCGTCATACATGGGGACACAGCACATACACACAGACACATAGACACAGACACTCTTATCATACATGGAGACACAACACACACACACAGACACACACACTGACACTATCGTTATACATGGAGACGCAGCACACACACACATACACTGACACTCTCGTCATACATGGGGACACATCACATACACACAGACACACACACACACACACACTGACACTCTCGTTATACATGGAGACGCAGCACACACACACATACACTGACACTCTCATCATGCATGGGGACACAGCACATTGACACAGACACACAGACACTCTTATCATACATTGATATACAGCACACACACACACTGACATTCTCATTGTACATAGGGACAGCACATACACACACACTGACATTCTCATCGTACATAGGGACAGAACACACACACTGACACTATCGTTATACATGGAGACGCAGCACACACACACATACACACTGACACTCTCGTCATACCTGGAGACACAGGACATACACACAGACACACACACACACACACACACACTGACACTATCGTTATACATGGAGACGCAGCACACACACACATACACTGACACTCTCGTCATACCTGGAGACACAGGACATACACACAGGCACACACACACACACACACACACACACACACACACACACACACACACACACACACACACACACACACACACACACACACACACACTATCGTTATACATGGAGACGCAGCACACACAAACATACACTGACACTCTCGTCATACCTGGAGACACAGGACATACACACAGACACACACACACACACATACACTGACACTCTCGTCATACATGGGGACACATCACATACACACAGACACACAGACACTCTCATCATACATGGAGACACAGGACACACACACAGACACTCTCATCATACATGGGGACACAGCACATACACACAGACACACATACGCTCTTATCGTACATGGAGACACAGCACACACACAGACACTGACACTCTCATCATACATGGGGACATAGCACATTGACACAGACACACAGACACTCTTATCATACATTGATATACAGCACACACACACACACACTGACATTCTCATCGTACATAGGGACAGCACACACACACAGACACACTGACATTCTCATCGTACATAGGGACAGCACACACACACACACACTGACATTCTCATCGTACATAGGGACAGCACACACACACAGACACACTGACATTCTCATCATACATGGAGACAGCACATACACACAGACACACTGACATTCTCATCGTATATTGAGATACAACACACACACACACACACACACTGACACTCTCATGATACATGGGAACACAGCACATACACACAGACACACAGACATTCTCATCATACATTGAGATACAACACACACATACACACACACACACACACACACACACACACACATACACACACACACACACACACATTGCTCCAGGTCGTGTGGAACCCTTAATTAAAGGACTAAGCTTTTGTCGATTTTCCCTTGTTAATTGAAGACGTCTCAGGCTTCATAAGGTCACTATAATTATGTCTAGATTTGGATTAGAATCATCACAAATTCTTCTGGCATAATCCCCTTTGACACAAACATACATTACATATTTACACACACAGCAATACAATGAAGCATTGCCCAGGGCCAACTTCATGGAATCTGTTTCATTACTGTCTATAATTATTGATGAATCTTCAGCTGGTCGAATTGCCTTCCACGTCCACCAGCTGTTACAGTCAATGTCCACACGCATGACTGACCCCGCACAGGGAGAATTAATACATGAACTTCACTGGCATGTTCGTCAGTACTCTCCCACTGGAGAGATATTGATGACTGTGTAACAGCTCAACACCCATTGAGGGGTGCATTTGGAAGACAAACCTGTCAACCTGTTTTATTTTATTGCTTACCTTGTCTGTCCAGGTTTATGTAGTTTGTCCTATCTTGTCTTGCTCATCCAGGCTTATCTTGTTTCTGCACTGGCTTATCTTTTTTGACCTGGCATATCTTGTTCATCGGGGCTTATCTTGTTTGCCCCGTACTATGTGGTTCGTCCTGTCTTATCTTGTTCATCTATTTTTATCTTTTTTTATCCAGACTTATCTTGTTTGTCCTGGCTTATTTTTATTGTCTAAGCTTATTTTATTCCCATGCTTATATTCTTTGTCCAGGCTTGTCTTGCTTCACTTGGCTTATCTTGTTTGTCATGTTCTATCCGGTTGTCCAAGCTCAACTGGTTCGTCTTGGCACATCATCTTTATCAAGGCTGATCTTGTTTATCCTGGCTTATCAGGTTTGTCCTGACTCGTCTGATGTGTACTGGCTTATATGTTTTACCCTGGCTTATCTTTTTTTTGCCCTGGCTTATCTTGTTCGCTCAGGCTTATCCTGTTTGTCCTCTATTATCCGGTTTGTCCAGACTTATCTTGTTCATCCTATCATAACTTGTATGTCCTGGCTTATCCCCTGCGTCAAGGCTTTTCCTGTATGTCTAGGCTTATTTTTATCTTGGCTTATGTTATTCCTGGGCTCATCTTCTTCGTTTCTTGTTTGTCCTGGCTCATCTGGTTTGTCCTGTCTCATCCAGGCTTATCTTGCATATCCGAGCTTATCTTATTTGTTCTGGCTTTTCTTGCATATCCGAGCTTATCTTGTTTGTCCTGGCTTATCGTGTGTGTCCTGGCTTATCTTGTGTGTCCTGGCTTATGTTGTCTATTATTACTTATCTAGTTTGTCCTGGCTTATCTTGTTGTCCTGGCTTATCTTGTCTATTATTACTTATCTAGTTTGTCCTGGCTTATCTTGTTGTCCTGGCTTATCTTGTTTGTCCTGGCTTATCTAGTTTGTCCTGGCTTATCTTGTATATCCTGGCTTATCCTTTTTGACCTGGGTTATCTTCTATACCAAGATTTCTCTCTTTCTTCCAGGCTTATCTTGTTTCTCCCTGCTTATCTAGTTTGTCCTGGCTTATCTTGTTTATTATGACTTATCTAGTTTGTCCTGGCTTATCTTGTTCTCCTGGCTTATCTTGTTGTCCTGGCTTATCTTGTCTATTATTACTTATCTAGTTTGTCCTGGCTTATCTTGTTGTCCTGGCTTATCTTGTTTGTCCTGGCTTATCTAGTTTGTCCTGGCTTATCTTGTATATCCTGGCTAATCCTTTTTGACCTGGGTTATCTTCTATACCAAGATTTCTCTCTTTCTTCCAGGCTTACCTTGTTTCTCCCTGCTTATCTAGTTTGTCCTGGCTTATCTTGTTTATTATGACTTATCTAGTTTGTCCTGGCTTATCTTGTTGTCCTGGCGTATCTTGTTGTCCTGGCTTATCTTGTCTATTATTACTTATCTAGTTTGTCCTGGCTTATCTTGTTGTCCTGGCTTATCTTGTTTGTCCTGGCTTATCTAGTTTGTCCTGGCTTATCTTGTATATCCTGGCTTATCCTTTTTGACCTGGGTTATCTTCTATACCAAGATTTCTCTCTTTCTTCCAGGCTTATCTTGTTTCTCCCTGCTTATCTAGTTTGTCCTGGCTTATCTTGTTTATTATGACTTATCTAGTTTGTCCTGGCTTATCTTGTTGTCCTGGCTTATCTTGTTGTCCTGGCTTATCTTGTCTATTATTACTTATCTAGTTTGTCCTGGCTTATCTTGTTGTCCTGGCTTATCTTGTTTGTCCTGGCTTATCTAGTTTGTCCTGGCTTATCTTGTATATCCTGGCTTATCCTTTTTGACCTGGGTTATCTTCTATACCAAGATTTCTCTCTTTCTTCCAGGCTTATCTTGTTTCTCCCTGCTTATCTAGTTTGTCCTGGCTCATCTTGTTTATTATGACTTATCTAGTTTGTCCTGGCTTATCTTGTTGTCCTGGCGTATCTTGTTTGTCCGGGCTTATCTAGTTTGTCCTGGCTTATCTTGTATACCCTGGCTTATCCTATTTGACCTGGGTTATCTTCTATACCCAGATTTCTCTGGTTCATCCAGGCTTATCTCGCTTGTCCGGGCTTGTTTTGTTTGTCCTGGCTTATCGTGTTTGTCCTGACGTGTCCATAAAGTGACCATAAAGTCAAAGAATATATTATACACAATTATATACAAACGATTGCAATCAACATCGTGACTTGATCTTTATTCTGTCGATCTTTTAAATGAGTTTGTATGTGAAGAGTCTTTAAAGGTTTAACCTCATCATTAGCTGAAACTGATTAATATCGAACTAAAGTAAGAAGATTGAACCAATCGATGGAAAGTAGATGTTGTGTACTAAATGCACTCCCCCCCCCCCCCCCCCCCCCCCCCCCCCCCCCCCCCAAAATGACAGTATCTGAGAGAAGGTCTTACATAACAAATACACATATTTCGGAAGTGTCATGATAAAATGAACATTTTATAATAAACTATTGAGTGCTTTCGCTTTTCAGGGAGGGTCAAATGGGGTTGGTCATTCCCAAATATGACCAGCATAAGGGGAGAATATTTTCAGTACATTTGTGCATCAAAAACCTCATATACCCCCTGACATATTTTCCTCATTTTATTTGTGTCTAGGTTTCGGATTCGGCGTCGCCCACCTCGCCGCCATCTCCTCCGTCACCTACTACTTTGAACGACGTCGGAACATGGCAACAGGGATGGCTGTCATGGGCGTTGGCGTTGGCACGATAGCGTTCCCCCCTTTCATCCGCATCCTCGTCGAGGATTTCACATGGAAGGGTTCCATGCTGATACTCGCAGGCTTGTGTCTCAACCTCTGCGTCTGCGCAGGTCTCATTCGACCAATCAAAAGACCGGAACTGCGTTCGGTGTCCCGAAATGTAATGGACACAAGCATCTTCCGGAAACCATGTTACTGGATGGCTTGTCTGAACAGCTTTATGGTGTGTGTGGGGTTGTCTATAACGTACATCCACATAGCAGCGTATGCAGAGAACTGTGGTCTTGGCAAAGAGAAGAGCACTCTGTTGATATCTGGGATAGGCTTCGCGAACGTCTTTGGTCGGCTAGCCATGGGACTTCTTGCTCAACATCCTAAAATGAACCTTATACTATTGTACCTGGTATCCTTCATAATAGCCGGTGTTGCTGTGACATTGACTCCTATTGCCAGAACCTGGGACGGACTCATAGCGATAGCTGCCGTGTTCGGATGTTTTACGGCAGGGATTGGAACCCTGTTCGCGCCTATTCTAGCTCGGATCTTAGGACTCCGGCGGTTCGCTACTGGATATGGGTGTCTGGCTCTAATCAACGGATTTGGACAGATGATTGGAGGTCCTTTAGCCGGTGAGTCTGATCAGGTGGTTACAGTTAACGAGAGGTTTAATTGTGAATAGTATTTCAGATATCGTTGTTTTGAAATTGCATCACAATGACGAAGGATATAATGATGTCACAATCAAATGACGTCAATAATCTCCGCGCCACTGAAGCTGGTTAGTTGTACTTATTACACTGAAGACTCTAGTTATTATTGTATACAAAAGGAAAAGTTCAAAGAATGAGGGGGCACGGGTGGCCCAGTCGTCTAAGGCGCCGCGATTCGCTGTGCAGAGTTGCGTCCCTTGGGCACGCCAGAAACCTGATTGTGGGTTTGAATCCCGGTTCGCCCCAATTATGGTTCTAGGTTTATCAGCCCCATACCCGTGCTCGTGGGTTTCACCGAAGTGGTAAACGTCTGAGATCTGCATCACTTCGGGCTTTCCTCCCACATTATGCTGATACGCCGTGATATAACTGGAATACTGTTAAAAGCGGCGTTAAACCCAACTTACTCACTCACTCGTTGTCGCAATATAAATCACTGGATTGTTGATTATTTACAGACGGTCGTCATAATGCTGAAATACTGGAGTGCGGAGTTAAACAAGCAAACAAACAAACATTACTGTTTTGTGTTCCAGGCCTCCTACATGACATGACCGGAAACTACCTCGCTTCCTTTCTCACCGGAGGTATCAGCCTCGTTCTCAGTTCTGTCTTCATGATTGTCCCCTTGAGATACAAAGACGTTGCACTAAACACCGGCGTGTCCATTCGGGTCAAGTGTGGACCGAGCAGTGCAGCGTCACCACTCACTGCCCCCGTTGTCACTGACATCGACGACGACGACAACATTGGGAAGGAAAGTGAAGAAAATACATCAACTGTGTGACCTTATTTTTCTCAAGGTTGATCACGTGCTCATTTGGTTGAGGGGAGGTTGTCTTTTTGGTTTTACGCCACTTTAAACAATATTATTATTATAATATTTCATTATATCGCAGCTTGATTTCTGTGACAGAAAAGCCTGAAGACAAAGACGTTAATACTGTGATGAAGCTGGTTCTGACAAACCTATGGCCATAATAGCATCGATTTTGGATTCGAACCCGCGACCAGTGTCCGAACCACGGGGAATTATGGATTTGTGATTTTGATCTGCGGCTATGACTTTGTGTCAGCAATTACCTTCTGTGCCAGGCAAAAGCCGCACAGGTCATAACATGCTGCTCTGGTAGTAATGGGCCTCTTCAGATGAGAGGATGCGTTGCTCACTTTAATGGCAATGGTTCGGATGTGTCGAATTATTGCAACAATGCCAGGACGTGCAAGTTGTGCCAGGACGTGATTGCAGTCCGATTACACTTCAAGGTGCCAAGACTATCTTTATTTATACATCCTTTTCATGTCTTAAATATTTGTATGTACAGTGACACCCCGTTGTAATAATTAAAAAATAACATTAATACTAATAATGATAAAAATAATTGCTCTGTCCATGTGCATTTAGTTTTACACTTGTTCTCGTTTCACCTACTGAATGTGATATACTTTCCCTGAGTGAGTGAATTAGATTTTACGCCGCTTTATGCAGTATTCAAGCCATACCATGGGGTGGTCGGGTAGCCTAGTGGTTAAAGCGTTCGCCCGTCACGCCGAAGACCCGGGTTCGATTCCCGACATGGGTACAATATGTGGAGCCCATGTCTGGTGTCCCACGTCGTGACATTGCTGGAATATTGCTAAAAGCGGCGTAAAGCCACACTCACTAACTCGCATCATGACTATGTGGTAAACGAAAGCCAGGGTCCACTTGCTCAAAGCGATCTTAGCGCTACGCCTATATGAAGTCAATGTCAGAGTATTAGAGTTACGGTCATCGCAGCGCTAAAATCGCTTTGTGCAAGTAGCCCCGGATCTTCGGTCCGAGGAGAGTGAACGCTTTAACCTCTCGGCTACCCAGTTCCCCCTTCTGCTATAGAGTGGGCGAGAATAGTTGAGCGTTAGGGTATTAGGGAACTAACCTGTAACAGGCAACGTCTCCATCAACAATTCATGTATGGTCATAAAGAACACTTGGTCAAACAATATTTGTCAATTTTAAATGTAATATATATATATATATATATATATATATATATATATATATATATATATATATATATATAATTACCTTCTTACGTTTTTATATATGCTGTTTTTTTCTATTGTTGATCATAAAGACATGACAAAAATACGGAATATTTGCTTGTCCGAGTTTTGTTACACAATGGGGTGAGAAACTGCATGCATATGGGATGGACGCGGCCCGAAGAAATACTCCAGCAACATCACGGCACCAGATGGGTGCTTGAACCAGTATACACTTGTCGACTGGACGTGCGGACGCTTTTACCACAATGCTTACCGTCGCCCCAACGCCAAATGGCGATACGCTGGTGCACAATGCTTTAAGATAGACTCTACCGTCTGAATATATAGAGCGTCAATGTAAAACATTAGAAAACACCCACATAAACTAACCACGTTGTGTCGTGCAAAAGAGAAGTATTCAGATATACAGTATGTAACTATTACATGTTCTTAAACGTGAAGGGACGGTCGGGTAGCCCAGTGGTTAAAGCGTTCGCTCGTCACGCCGAATACCCGGGTTCGATTCCCGACATGGGTACGATGTGTGAAGCCCATTTCTGGTGTCCCCCATCGTGATATTGCTGGAATATTGCTAAAAGCGTCGTAAAACCATATTCACTCACTCACTGACGTAAACGTGAATCGGTATGTGACTGTGTAATACCGCTGACAAATAAAGTGAGCGCCCCTTAGTCTTCGATAACGTACTCGAGTCTCACTGAGACCGAGGTGATCCACCACATCCGTACATCCGAGGTCATTCCACCACATCTTAAATTACACCTGAGGTGATCCACCACACCCATATACCCGAGATGAACCACTACCCCCATACACCCGAGGTGATCAACCACACCCTTACACCCGAGGTGATCCACTACCCCCATATACCCGAGGTGATCCACCGCACCCCCATATACCCGAGGTGATCCACTACCCCCATACACCCGAGGTGATCCACTACCCCCATATACCCGAGATGATCCACTACCCCCATATACCCGAGGTGATCCACTACCCCCATATACCCGAGGTGATCCACTACCCCCATATACCCGAGGTGATCCACTACCCCCATATACCCGAGGTGAACCACTACCCCCATACACCCGAGGTGATCCACTACCCCCATATACCCGAGGTGAAGCACTACCCCAATATACCCGAGGTGAACCACTACCCCCATACACCCGAGGCAATACCGCTGACAAATGAAGTGAGCGCCCCTTAGTCTTCGATAACGTACTCGAGTCTCACTGAGACCGAGGTGATCCACCACATCCGTACATCCGAGGTCATCCACCACATCCTTACACCTGAGGTGATCCACTACCCCCATATACCCGAGGTGATTCAGTACACCCGAGGTGATCTACCACACCCTTACACCCGAGGTGATCTACCAAACCCATAAACCCGAGGTGATCCACCACACTCATACACCCGAGGTGATCCACCACACTCATACACCCGAGGTGATCCACCACACCCTTACTCCCGAGGTGATCCACCACACCCCAATTCAAATATTGAAAACAACCTGAACAGCCATTGCACACCACAGTAAATACACTCTACAATATATACCTCTCCTGTTAGTCAGCGTTTCAATTAACTACAAACATAATTAAACCTCAAAAACATTTATTTCAGGATATTTATTCTACATTTCACATTAGCAACATATGGTTCGATGTAACTGTAACAGGCTGAAATTATGCATATTGTATATTTAAAGAGATAAACAACCGCAGTGACGGTATAACCCATGGTATGAATTACCTGGTTTGATTTCCCAAGTTGATAAAATATATTAGCTCACCTAACCTTACAGCGGGCAGGGGGCACGGGTGGCCCAGTCATCTAAAGCGCTGCGATTCGTTGTGCAGAGTTGCGTCCCTTGGGCACGCCAGAAACTTATGATTTTGGGTTCGAATCCCGGTTCGCCCCGATTATGGTTCTAGGTTTATTCAGCACCATATATCCCTGCTTATGGGTTTCACCGAAGTGGTAAACGTCTGAGACCTGCATCACTTCGGACTTTCCTCCCACATTAAGCTGACACGCCGTGATATAACTGGAATACTGTTAAAAGCGGTGTTTAACCCAACTCACTCACTCCAGCGGGCAATTATTTTCCATGTCGCCCGCTCATGATACCCGCTGACAAATCAATCGGAACACACCTTAGGTAACTTGCATATCTCGAATAAGTATTGTTTAGTGGAAATGAACCGATGTTCATGCTAATGCATTGGGTAAAGGAAAGAAATGTGTCGCCTGCTTCGATTTCAGCTGAGTTGAATAATAACCACGCTCGCATAAAAAAAAAACACCTGTCTCAAATGGTCATATATAAAATCATCAAAATAGAAAGATTTAAAAAAAGGCTGGATCGCGCCTGTGGTACTGGGGACCGAACCCCTTTCTCCTTAGCAGAAAGTTTTCTCAAACGAAACGAAGTAACCACATAGCTGTGGCCAGCCCGCCTGTCAAGGGGACATTGGTAGTATGTACAGTGTCAGCGTCGATAAAGCAATGCATGGTGTAAAAATAGACTGATGAGTCATAGGGATTGTAGGACGCTTAACCCAGTACGGGGTACTGTCACAGCATGGGGCAAGCCAAGCTGTCCTGCAGGTTTCTTTTCGGGAAAGGCTTTGAGCATATACTGTCAGCGTCGATAACGCAACACACAGCGGGTAGAGGAGAGACTGTATACCGAGCGGATAGAGGAGAGACTATATACCGAGCGGATAGGGGGAGGACTATATACACAGCGGATAGCGGAGAGACTGTATACTGAGCGGATAGGGGGAGGACTATATACACAGCGGATAGAGGAGAGACTTAATACACCGCGGATAGAGGAGAGACTATATACTGAGCGGATAGAGGAGAGACTGAATACACCGCGGATAGAGGAGAGACTTAATACACAGCGGATAGAGGAGAGACTATATACTGAGCGGATAGAAGAGAGACTTAATACACCGCGGATAGAGAAGAGACTATATACTGAGCGGATAGAGGAGAGACTGAATACACCGCGGATAGAGGAGAGACTATATACTGAGCGGATAGAGGAGAGACTATATACCGAGCAGATACAGGAGAGACTATATACCGAGCGGATAGAGGAGAGACTATATACTGAGCGGATAGAGGAGAGACTATATACTGAGCGGATAGAGGGAGGACTATATACACAGCGGATAGAGGAGAGACTGAATACACCGCGGATAGCGGAGAGACTATATACTGAGCGGATAGAGGAGAGACTATATACTGAGCGGATAGAGGGAGGACTATATACACAGCGGATAGAGGAGAGACTTAATACACCGCGGATAGAGGAGAGACTATATACTGAGCGGATAGAGGAGAGACTGAATACACTGCGGATAGAGAAGAGACTATATACTGAGCGGATAGAGGAGAGACTGAATACACTGCGGATAGAGGAGAGACTATATACTGAGCGGATAGAGGAGAGACTGAATACACTGCGGATAGAGGAGAGACTATATACTGAGCGGATAGAGGAGAGACTATATACTGAGCGGATAGAGGACAGACTATATACACCACGGATAGAGGAGAGACTATAAACTGAGCGGATAGAGGAGAGATTATATACACCACGGGTAGAGGAGAGACTTAATACACCGTGGATAGAGGGGAGACTATATACACCTCGGTAGAGGAGAGACTATATACACAGCGGATAGAGGAGACACTATATACCGAGCGGATAGAGGAGAGACTTAATACACAGCGGAGAGAGGAGAGACTTAATACACCGCGGGTAGAGGAGAGACTTAATACACAGCGGAGAGAGGAAAGACTTAATACACAGCGGAGAGAGGAGAGACTTAATACACCGTGGGTAGAGGAGAGACTTAATACACAGCGGAGAGAGGAGAGACTTAATACACCGCGGGTAGTGGAGAGACTTAATACACAGCGGAGAGAGGAGAGACTTAATACACAGCGGAGAGAGGAGAGACTTAATACACCACGGGTATAGGAGAGACTTAATACACAGTGGAGAGAGGAGAGACTTAATACACAGCGGAGAGAGGAGAGACTTAATACACCGCGGAGAGAGGAGAGACTTAATACACAGCGGGTAGAGGAGAGACTTAATACACCGCGAAGAGAGGAGAGACTTAATACACCGCGGATAGAGGAGAGACTTAATACACAGCGGAGAGAGGAGAGACTTAATACACCACAGGTAGAGGAGAGACTTAATACACAGCGGAGAGAGGAGAGACTTAATACATCGCGGATAGAGGAGAGACTTAATACAAAGCGGAGAGAGGAGAGACTTAATACACCGCGGGTAGAGGAGAGACTTAATACACCGCGGGTAGAGGAGAGACTTAATACACAGCGGAGAGAGGAGAGACTTAATACACCGCGGTAGAGGAGAGACTTAATACACAGCGGAGAGAGGAGAGACTTAATACACTGCGGGTAGAGGAGAGACTTAATACACCAGGGGTATAGGAGAGACTTAATACACAGCGGAGAGAGGAGAGACTTAATACACAGCGGATAGAGGAGATACTTAATACACCGAGGGTAGATGAGAGACTTAATACACAGCGGAGAGAGGAGAGACTTAATACACCGCGGGTAGAGGAGAGACTTAATACACAGCGGAGAGAGGAGAGACTATATACACCGCGGGTAGAGGAGAGACTTAATACACCGCGGGTAGAGGAGAGACTTAATACACAGCGGAGAGAGGAGAGACTTAATACACCGCGGGTAGAGGAGAGACTTAATACACAGCGGAGAGAGGAGAGACTTAATACACCGCGGGTAGAAGAGAGACTTAATACACAGCGGAGAGAGGAGAGACTTAATACACCGCGGGTAGAGGAGAGACTTAATACACCGCGGGTAGAGGAGAGACTTAATACACCGCGGGTAGAGGAGAGACTTAATACACCGCGGAGAGAGGAGAGACTTAATACACAGCGGGTAGAGGAGAGACTATATACACAGCGGATAGAGGAGAGACTATATACACAGCGGATAGAGGAGAGATTATATACACCGCGGGTAGAGGAGAGACTATATACACAGCGGATAGAGGAGAGATTATATACACCACGGGTAGAGGAGAGACTTAATACACCGCGGATAGAGGGAGGATTATATACACCGCGGGTAGAGGAGAGACTATATACACAGCGGTGGAGAAGACACTATATACCGAGCGGATAGAGAAGAGACTTAATACACAGCGGAGAGAGGAGAGACTTAATACACCGCGGGTAGAGGAGAGACTTAATACACAGCGGAGAGAGGAAAGACTTAATACACAGCGGAGAGAGGAGAGACTTAATACACCGCGGGTAGAGGAGAGACTTAATACACCGCGGATAGAGGAGAGAATTAATACACCGCGGGTAGAGGAGAGACTTAATACACCGCGGAAAGAGGAGAGACTTAATACACCGAGGGTAGAGGAGAGACTTAATACACCGCGGAGAGAGGAGAGACTTAATACATCGCGGATAGAGGAGAGATTAATACACCGCGGGTAGAGGAGAGACTTAATACACAGTGGAGAGAGGAGAGACTTAATACACCGCGGTTAGAGGAGAGACTTAATACACAGCAGAAAGAGGAGAGACTTAATACACCACGGGTAGAGGAGAGACTTAATACACAGCGGAGAGAGGAGAGACTTAATACACCGCGGGTAGAGGAGAGACTTAATACACCGCGGGTAGAGGAGAGACTTAATACACCGCGGGTAGAGGAGAGACTTAATACACAGCGGGTAGAGGAGAGACTATATACACAGCGGATAGAGGAGAGATTATATACACCGCGGGTAGAGGAGAGACTATATATACAGCGGATAGAGGAGAGATTATATACACCACGGGTAGAGGAGAGACTTAATACACCACGGATAGAGGGAGGATTATATACACCGCCGATAGAGGAGACATTATATACCGAGCGGATAGAGGAGAGACTTAATACAACGCGGATAGAGGAGAGACTATATACACAGCGGATAGAGGAGAGACTTAATACAACGCGGATAGAGGAGAGACTATATACACAGCGGATAGAGGAGAGACTTAATACAACGCGGATAGAGGAGAGACTATATACACAGCGGATAGAGGAGAGACTTAATACAACGCGGATAGAGGAGACACTATATACACAGCGGATAGAGGAGAGACTTAATACACCGCGGGTAGAGGAGTGTTTGGTAAACACATCCGATGGAGGACTTGTTTTATGAATAGGGTTTTGAATTGGGGCAAGTAATAAGGTGTGTGTGTGTGTGTGTGTGTGTGTGTGTGTGTGTGTGTGTGTGTGTGTGTGTGTGTGTGTGTGTGTGAGAGAGAGAGAGAGAGAGAGAGAGATTAAACTTTGTTTATACATTGTACATTCTCTCACACTGTATACGCGGAATGTAGAATGGGCCTGTATGTCCATGATGACTTAAAGATGATGATGATGATGATGATGATGATGATGATGATGATGATGATCATGATGATGATTATTATTATTATTATTATTATTATTATTATTATTATTATTATTATTATTACAACGAGGTGTCACTGTACGTGCCAGGAACCGCCGATTGGTACCTTCAGAATCAAGATATCAGAACATGACACATTTGAGTTTAAAGTTTTATTTTATATAAAAATAGAAAACAAATATATTATGCAAACAATACCAGCAATATGTTTTCACAACAGTGACGTCCTGAAGTATTTGTTATTGTTTTCAAAGAACAAGAGGTATTAAGTTGACACAATCTAAGTGATGAACAGGATAAATGTTCAACATATTAAGTGAATGGAATGGCAGAATAAATAATCTGTTGTGGGCACATCATATGTTGCATTGTCATTTATTGAACGAACAATTATGGCAGTGACACAGTGGCTTGGTCGAATGGCATTAAACATGTTTTGTATATCCACAGTGGTAAAACTATTAATATATTTTTTATAAATAATCCTTTCACAGTATTAGTTACATTTTTGCCATTTCTTCTTATAATGAACTAGATCAGTGGGGACATTCAGATATTGTTAAAATTGATACCCACAGCATTGTCATGAGAGCGTAGCTTTTTATATAATTTACCTCCATCGAGCGTATGTTCACTCCTGTAGCCTGACACGTCACTTATTCATGCTGTACAAAATGCTCATACCTTTCTACACGGAAACTGTCAACGTGACAGCGCTTGCCTCCCTTTGATGACTGAGATCGACTAACACATGTGTGTTTTGTTTCATAACTGATAGTTATGAACGTTATACAACATATTTTCATAATTATTTATGTGTTTCGTTTGGACACTATGTACTGTGTCGTTTGTACAGCACATATGTGCGAGACAAAGATAAGGTGTTTTTTTTAAATATATGTCCAAGCGGTAATCACCTCCATGTAACTTTTTTTAAACCAAAAACAACTACAGCACGTTTTTCGCATTCGTCAGCATTAAGTACACCCGTTTATACATTCAGCGTTTAATGCAAACTCTTCTTGACAAGTAAGAAGTATTTCAATCAATTTCAAATATTCATTCGGGGGCACGGGTGGCTCAGTGGTATAAGGCGCCGCAATTAGCTGTGCAGAGTTGCGTCCCTTGGGCACGCCAGAAACCTATGATTATGGATTCGAATCCTGGTTCGCCCCGATTATGTTTCTAGGTTTGTCAGCACCATACCCGTGCTCGTGGGTTTCACTAAAGTGGTAAACGTCTGAGACCTACATCACTTCGGGCTTTCATCTCACAATAAGCTGACACGCCATAATATAACTCGAATACTGTTTAAATCGGCGTAAAACCCAGCTCACATTGAAATAGTCTTTAATAATTAACCATGCATGACATGAAACTAAATAACATTGCGTCTCCATTACAGGTGGGTTGTCTGGAAAATGTTATTATGCAAAAGTTTTTAAAATGAAAATATAAAAGAGGCTGGATGGCGTCCGTGGCACAAGGGACGAACCCAATCCTTTGTGTTGAAAGAGTGTTTGATTAAACGAAGTAACCACATGACTGGAGCCAGCCCGCTAGCTGTGTGAACATGTGAAGTATTTATACTTCCGCGTCGAGAATAGCCGCGTGATGCAAGAACTGACGTCACTCTAGGATTGTAGGGCGCTTCTCTCAGTAGGGGTGGCGGGTCACACGCGATGATGATATCAATGTTGTCTTTAATACTGGGAGACTTGGCACGTTTCTTCAAGACCATCGGAAGGAATTGGACCTTCGTTCAACATCATCTTCCCGAGGCAAGAGAGTTAACTGACTTTAAAGTCCAGTTTCCACCCTTGCCGAACAAGGCTGGGATTACTGGGCTCGATCGTAGCACATGCTTTGCAAATCCTGCAATCGATCGAAATCTGCTCGACAGTTAGTCTGCTCGTTAGTCCAGCCAAATTGTAACTCCATAATACCAGCCTAGTTCGGCAAGGATGGAAACTGGACTTGTATAGTCAGTTAACTCTCTTGCCTCGGGAAGATGGTTCAACATGTGCTCTGTGTACAATTTCCGGCCAGGTTATAGGATCTCGGTGTCAGTGCTTG